GAGAATAACACATGGTAAGCACTGTAAGTCTCCACTATACTTTTCTCACCCTGCCTCATAAGTGCAGATTGGGTACCCACATTGCACTCTCTACTTTGTCTTCACTCTATTAAAGAACACTTAATTGTTTATGATCTTTTTACTTCACTAGGCAATAGTTCCTTGAAGGAAATAACCAGGTGCTATTTTCCTGACTAAATTCCATAAACACACAAACAAATATCACAACAAAAAGTCAGAAGCCAGCCTGCTTAATGTAATTTGAGAAGTCCTAATTATCAAGGTATGGTACAATGTCAAAAATATATTTAATTTAATATGAGAATAACCACTTATTTAACATCAACAAATATTCTCTAAGTGTTTTTTATATGCCAATCAAAATTCCAGGTCCTGGAAAAACAGCAGTAAACAAGGACCTTCTCATGTGGTAGTTTACATTCTAATAATTAAACACAATAAATAAATATCAGAAACAAGAAATATCAAAATCAAGAATGCAGAAATAAGAAAACATCAGTAGGAGAGCTCCCGTAAACTGGGTGATCAGGGAAGCCCTATGAATCAAAATCAAGAATGCAGAAATAAGAAAACATCAGTAGGAGAGCTCCCATAAACTGGGTGATCAGGGAAGCCCTATGAAAAGGTAACATTTGAGCAATACATGAATGTCAGGAAGGAGCCTACAATTAGAAAATTTAAGGGAAGAATATTTTAAAGGGAAGCTGGTCCAAAGTCCAGAGCAAACCTAGTATATCCAAGAATGTAGAATTTATGTATGATATATGTAAATTAGAAAGCCTCTATCTGTAGTTACATGAAATTATCTTATATCAAAGGTCTTTTGTAGAGTTCAAGATATTCTCACTTTTATTTAATTCACCTCTAAATCATGTAGTTCCCAGCGTATTTCATTATCACCAACCACCAACTTTGACTGTCTTATATGTGAAAGAAAAGCAGATATTACTGTATAAGATTTTTCAAAGCTCAGTCTCTTCACTTAAAAAAATTACAACTTATTAGAGTAAAGAGCAAAAATATGTTAATACAAAAATTTTAAAGCAATGTATAGCAAAAATAAGATATATCTCCCAAATAGTATAAGATTAATTACCAAGTAAAAGGATCTACCTAAACTTTTATTTACATATCATCCATCATCCATAAAATCAAGTTTGTATCTAGTTGAGGTAAAAATGACTGGACAGATTTTTACTAAATTTGTAGAATATTACAGACATATTTCTGTCTTGGAACATAGTCAATGTGTTACACACAACATTCATTTTCAGGGCACCCATAAAAGGTGAGGAGTACCTTTTCAGATCAGCTAAAACTAAAAAGTACAAAAAGAGGCCCACAAGGTCTTAAAGGGCTGGGAATAGTGAAGGACAGCCATTTTGTAAAATGATGCTATATATGAACAGAGAGAAAACAATAGTTTCAATCTTGAACTCCAAACTAATCAGCTCAAGAGCAATCAATCCAAATTCTATGCATTGATTTGCAACAACACTGATTCTCATATCACAACAGAATATAGTGTGCTCCAGAATGAGTGGTAATAGAGATTTACTTACTTAATGATGGGTAATGATTCTCCCTAGCCATGAAGAGGAGGCTAACTACCATAAAATAGAGGTTATAAACTGAAAAGAGGAAAAAAATCCCTGCTAGTTTAGGTTTGCCCAGAAGCAAATCCTGAGCAAAACCACATTCAATTGGTTGTATATGAGGAAACAACAGTAGGGGAAGGAGGAAGTGATAAATGGAATGGAAGGAAGGTAAAAAAGGGCAATTAATCAAGTGTCTACTGTAGATAAAAAGAACTAATCCCATGGGGGAAATTTGGCAGTGAATCTAGAACACTGTAGCCAGTGTAGTGAATAGTGAGAAATGCTGAGGTAGGTATATACTCATTCACATCAGTCATTAGTTGAGAGTGGTTCTCAGATATTATTAATTATCTGGCATTGCTTATATAGCAAGGAGGGAGTTAAGTGGGCTCTGTGATATGAAAGAAACTTCAAGAAAATAAATACAGTTGCTGGTATTGGAAAAAGGGCTAGCATACACTGAAATGGCAAAAGCATGGGGATACTGTTGGTAAACTGATAATTACATGCACAGGCATGATTTAGAAGACCCAATGGAAGAGGGACTTGAGCTAGACTTTGAGAATTGGGTTAGATTTGGTTACGAGAAAGCATTTAAGTTAGAAAAGGTGGCAGGGCAAAAGTACTGAGGTAGAAAAGCAAAAGAGGTATCCTAGGTCAATTATAAGCCAGTTTAACTGGATCACAGTTTATATAAGATATTCTTTGGAAAATATGACTAAAAATATAGGTCCATATTAAGGAAAGTATCTAATGCTAGGCCACAGAGTTTTAATTTTTTCTTCTAGGTATTGAGGAATATTTAAGTTTATTAAATAGAAAAGGCATAAAGTGAAAACATTGCTTTATGGCATTAATATCTATTATGGCACCTTTATTGTCCTTGGAATGTAAACCCTCACTGGATAGGACCTGTATCTGTTCAATTTCCCTAGGGTAGGATATACAGAGAAGTATTCAGTAACCCATTAGCAATGAGCACCCCAAGTACAAAGACTGTGGTATCTAAATACCATTTCTTAATAAAAGGAATCAAAGCTCGTTGGAGAAAAGGCTGATTCCAGATCTGTGCAAAATATTTACAAGATGAGTCTCAAAACGTTTTGTCACAACATAAAGAAAGCAAACTGTCAAACACTACAATGACTCAGTCAAAAGAACTCAGGAGCCCCCTTGAGGGGGTTCGCATTGGACAAAGAGGAAACTATTTGAGCATCAAAATAATAAATATTATTAAAATATCTTTAAAATAATAATACTGTAATGACATGAAATACATTTAAACATTTAATATCCATGACTGAGTTCATAATGTATTTTAAAATTTAATGAATATTAGGGAACTAATTCATTACTTTTGAAAACTATGAAATAAAGGAGAAAATCACATATTTACCCTACTCTTCCTGTACAAAATGTACAGACACTAAATGAGGTAAAGTTCTTATTTTAAAGAATTTCTGTTAGTAAATGTAAAATGAATGATCAAATTAGAATATCACCATTTTGCAACTCAATGAAATAATGAACCTAGGCAATAATCATTAATGGCTGCTAAAAGTATTAGCTGAAAAGCTGAGTGAAAATCTTCAATGTTTATCTAACTTTATCAGGTTGATAACATGTAAGCCCAATAAGCAATTAGAACATAAGAAAAGCAACCAGACAGTGTATGCTTCTTAATGCAATTTTACAGTTAGTAAATAACACCTATGAAGTCTTTTTTGCACATTAAAAAAATAAAAAAGTAAAACCTTTAATCTGAGTAATTCTTTAGATTTAATTACCAGTTTACAAGAAATACAGAGGTAAGGACACTATGGGAATACAACTTATAAAATTCATAATATAGAAAATTCTACAGAGCATTTGATCATTATTATTCAAAAAATAAACTGCAAGAAAATATTAATGAGAACCTATAAGTTAAAAAAATCAAATATAATGTAGAGACTTTATTTAGGTCCTGATTTGAACAAATCAATTGTAAAAAATTATGTAAGATAAAATTTGAGACAATTAAATTTGATAGTGAATGCCTCTTATGATATTACAGAATTGTTAAAATTTTAATTGTACTAATGATAGTCACATTCTTTAAAAAAAAACCTTTTATACTTGAGATATGTATTCATAATTCCAAAAACTTATTCTTAAATATTTACTAATAAAATGACATGGTGTTTGGAATTTATTTCAAAGAATCCAAAGGGCTGGGAAAAGGACTATATAATAATTGTTTACACTAAATGAATAACATATGAGCAGTCATCATATTAACATATTTACTTTGAAGTATTTTTTAATACAAAAATTGGGTATTCCAAGTGAGTTAACGAAAATTTTACTATTTCTGAACACCTGTCAAATCGTTGAAATCATTAAAGACTGAAGACATCTACTCCCAGAAAGAAGCATAAAACATGGTTTAAAAAGTAGTTAAGAAAGTGCAATGTCGACGTGAATACATAACTTCACTGTAAGAAGGAGCTACCAATGCATGAAATCCGGACAGGAAGCATCAGTCGACCTTCAGAGGCTCCTCAGCTGTTGCTGATTGCCAAAGAGGCAATTTTGTAAAGAAAACAATCCCTGTTCTATAAATTAAGATTACCAACCCCTAGGTTTGGAACTTCAACTCAAGTAACTCACGTAGGCGCTGGAGCGTGAAAACGCAGGAAATAACACAAAATAATGAAATTGTGCTGTGGGCACTAGTTCAAAAGACTTCGCACTGTTAAAGCTTTGCATTCATTGTCCTTTTTAAACCTCACAATAACCCAAGTTGGTGTTGTGGGTGCTTGATATATACTCTGAAAAAAAAACTATTGAACGTAGTAGGCTTCAATACATGATACCACTTTATAGATGAGGACATTGATGTTCAGAGGCCAACAGCTTGTTTGAGTCACGCACTACAGTAACTTGGTCCAGCCAATGATATTCCAGGTTTATTGAACAGGAAAGAACGTTTCAAACACTCCATTGCATTGGACCATAGAGGGGAGACGGCTGAGGAGCAGGTGTGAAACACTGGAAAACACCACCTTTTTCACAGACCTAGAGTTTTCCGTAGCCCTCACCACGCTGTACACATTTCAGTCTTGCGGGTTAGGAAAACTCACCGTCTGCCAGCTCGTCCTCCCAGCCGGGACCTGCACCGCGGCTCCCAGGCGCCCGCACCCCCGAGCCCCGCCCTTTCTCCGACGGCGCGCAGCCTGTGACCGTCAAACTACATCTCCCATAAAGCCGTGCGAGGACACTGGGCTTTGGCCGGAAGTCAGGAAGGCTCGATCCAGCGCCGTGAGTGTGGGTTATTTCTCAGCCTTTCGACAGCAACCTGGTTTCTGCAACTCTAGTCGCACTTGGGTTAGTAACTCCAGCGACGACTTAGTCGTCTCCGCTGCCGGCGACCAGTTCTCATCCGGCCGGGTCCTGCCAGGTCGTGTGGAGCAGCCTCGCGCTGGGGTGCGGGTGCAGGCGCGGGATCCGCGGAGTTGCAGTCCGGGCTCCAGGCGGGGCAGTGGGGAGACGCAACCGGTCCTGCTCTGGAGTGCTTCCAGCCCAAACAAGTCTTTGAGGAGGGCAAGTGGAAGTGCGGTTTCGGGTGAGGTTTCACTTTGAAAGAAGGAATCGCACAGTAGAACAGTAGTTGCAAGAAAATAATCTGTTTTAAGGCATTTAAACTTTTGGAGAGTCCGTGCAGGAGTGGCGCTTGATAGGCGAAATGGCCATCTTGAATGCCCAAGTGTCTCGGTGACTTAAGTGACAGAACTGTATTTGAGGTCTGCCCTGTCTCTTGAGCCATGTGACCTTGTGCAAGTGATGGGCCCCGAGTTACACACCAAAAGTGGGTGCTGGTTGGTTAAGAATATCTAAGACCCTTTAAATCTACGATTCTTTAAATGACCTCTCAGAATAGTCCCTGTTCTTGAAAAGCAAAGGCAGCATTTAGCAAACTGAATCACTTCATCGTGCCTTCAAATCCTTACCTTCTGGAGAACCTGGTGATGAGAAATGAAAGAGTAAATCAAGCAGTAGAGCTGGATTTCAGATTTTGTGCTTTTCTGGAATGAGTAATGGTTCTATTTCTAGGTGGCTTTTTTGCTGAGAAAGCAGAAGGAGAAAGTGTATTTTCCACTTCCTTTCTTCTGAGAATAGCGTGTGCTTAAGGATTGGGCGCAAGGAGTGGTACTACATTTTTGGAGGACGGGTTTACAGTCACCTGAAGAGGCCTGTGGGGAGGGTGAAGAAGTGACCATAATTTCAAAACATAAGACAGTGAAATATTGCTTAAAGTAAGCCTAACTGAGGAACCTGTATGATATGAATTTGTGTGAAAAAAATTTAAGGGAAAGGCAACCTCAAAGGGAGACCATATTTAAGCCAGGATATACAGCAGTGCTTCAAAATAAAGTCCTGAGAAGTAGTTTAGTTATTAATAATATATTTAACACATTAAGAAATCTCAGTTTGAAGAGAATAGTGAGGTAAATTCTGGAGTAAGAAGAAATAAAAAACTGTTTTCTGATATAGTAGTCATTCCTCCTAATTTAGCTTGTCCACAGATTTTCATGTTTCATCCAAATGTTTCCATTCCTGTGAGTAGTTTTGAACTATTTTTAAGTAGCAAAAAGAAACAAACAGAAAAGGTGAACAGACACAAAATAAGAATGTTAATCTCTTTAACCTATTTTTTCCCCTAAGTTTTGTTCATACTGCTGTTATAAAGTTGATCCAAAATGCAATATCAGAACACCAGAGACAGAAGTTGTCCAAAATCACAAATTATAACCTTTCTTTTTAGCCTAAATATTTTATTGCTTAGGATGGTAGAAGCTTAGTTAGAATTCCAGATCTTTTAATATCATTTCCTTGAAAAAAAAAGATCTTAAAAACAGTACTTTGAGAAGTTAGACAGCTGAAACAAACCATTTCCACCAAAAGATGGCTCTCTTTGTGCCCTACCACATTCAGTCCATGATTAGACAACATTTACTAAGAGGTATGGAACAATTATTTTCTGTAGTTTTTCTTACTCAAACAACAGAGAGCCAAAGCAGACAAAGTTAATGGTTTAAAAACTTCTGTAATTCAAAGATAGACAAAGTGACCAATAGAACGGTGTCCAATAATATATCCAAAATATACAGTTATCTGATTATAACAAGGATAACACTGAAATGCACTGGGACAAAGATGGTAATTTCAAGAATGGTGTGAAGTCATATGGATTAATTATCCATTCAGATAAAAATGTGTCATGACTCTACCTCACACCGTGAAGAAAAATCAGTCCCAGATGGACTGCAGAATTAATTGTGCAAGGTAAAGCAATACATCGTTTTCATATGAAACTAAGCGTTTGAATGAATAATTAGCTATAGGATCATAATTTTCCTGAGAAGGACCTGTTTCTGGTACAACAGAATCTAGGAGAATAGTACTTGCCGTCTGCTAAAAACCTCTGCCCTTGCATCTCTCTGCCTTACCCTCCTCTCCCTACTCCATACTGAAGTCCCTCTTGTCTACCTCAAATACCTGCTCCTATTTGTAGTATCTGTAAGTGACTCCTCACTCCCCAGAACATGGCCCTCTCATCTCTATCACCAAAGCTTTTTATACATTTTTTTATACATCCCCATGATGAATTATGTTTAAAATTGTTAACTGATAACAGTTTTAAAAATGTGTGCTGTGATGACAGGTGACTACTCATTACCTTTACAGAGTAGACTGCTTTAGAAACCATAACTATTATTTTAGTTATATCAGTACTCAGTGTTTGATCATTGATACCAAAAGCAATTGCAAATGAGAGGTTTTTCTTCTTTTTTCCTTTTTTAAGGAAGAAATGTCTTCTATAAAAAGAAGTCCAAAAGAAGAAATCATTTCCCAGCTTCACTATTCAGCTGCAGAAGGAGATATTGCCAGGTTAACAGTAATCCTCAGTCATTCTCCATCTCTTCTCAATGAAACTTCTGAAAATGGCTGGACTGCTTTAATGTATGCTGCAAGGAATGGGCATCCAGAAGTTGTCCAATTTCTACTTGAGAAAGGGTAAACATTTTAGACTATATCACCTGAAGGGGTGTGTGGTTTGATTTCTAGGTTGCATATTTCCTTTTAAATTCTTCTTGTTACTATATCACTGGGCTTGTAACTCATTGACCAGTTTTGTTATATAAAAATGTGCATAATTTCTAACTAAAAACTTAACTTTTTATTGAAGAATTAACCAGCCATACTTTGTAGAAAAGCAAATTTATGAGTTAGTCTAATTTTTTTTCTCTGAAATAGAAAATGTAAATCTACCCAGTATGACTATCAACAACCCCTTGTAAAATTTTAACATCTCCTTATAGCACATAAAACTTACTGGTTTTTATAACTAATTCTCCAGAAATTTTAAATATCCATTATCTCTAACTTTTCATTTCCAGTTACTTCTTTTAACTTCATTAATAAATTATGTACTAAAAGAAAAAACTATGTAATCATTAAATAAAGGGGCTACCTTGTGCATCTGGAAATATTTTATTGTAATAAAAACTAAAGAAAATGATTATTTCCTATTTTGTTTCCTTCTCTCTGTAGGTGTGACAGATCCATTGTCAATAAATCAAGGCAGACTGCATTGGATATTGCTAAATTTTGGGGTTATAAGCATATAGCTAACTTACTAGCTAATGCTAAAGATGGGAAGAAGCCTTGGTTCCTAACCAATGAAGTGGAAGAACGTGAAAATTATTTTAGCAGGACACTACTGGACCGAAAAAGTGAAAAAAGAAACAATTCTGACTGGCTGCAAGCTAAAGAAAGCCATCATACCACAGTTTATATCCTTTTCTCAGATTTAAATCCCTTGGTTACTCTAGGTGGCAATAAAGAAAGTTCCCAACAGCCGGAAGTCAGGCTGTGTCAGCTGAACTACACAGATATAAAGGATTATTTGGGCCAGCCTGAGAAGATCACCTTGATTTTCCTTGGAGTAGAACTTGAAATGAAAAAAGAGCTACTTAATTATGCTGGGGGTGTCCCAAGAGAAGAAGATGGGTTGGTTGCCTGGTTTGCTCTAGGTATAGATCCTGTTGCTGCTGAAGAATTTAAGCAAAGACATGAAAATTGTTATTTTCTCCATCCACCAATGCCAGCTCTTCTGCAACTGAAAGAAAAAGAAGCTGGTAAGAAGTAATGTTGTGTGCATGTATTGGTAATAATCTGGAGTTTGGAACTGTATTGGAGTTGTTTATATATGCAATTTCTAAGAGGCATATTTTTCCCAGTAAGCAACGAAATGGGGCTCTTATTAGAAATTTCCTGAAGTTCTCACTCAGGGGAACTTCTCTCCTGGCCAGTTAGAGTAGTTTTAATCAGAGAAGATTAGTTTCCCCAGAATTAACCCTAATACATGATGGTTTCATTTGATTCATCGGTGAATAATTACTGAGCACCTGCTATATACTGAACGTGACAAAGACCTTGACTGTTTTGTCTTCCATTGCTCGATATGCCAGTTCATGTGGGGCCTTATATGCCATAGTAAGAAATTAGAAATTTAAGCAAAGACATGAAAATTGTTACTGCTATTTACATATTGTAACCTGACCTATGTTTAAAAAAAAAAAACTAAACTAAAATCCCTCAGTCTGACTGCTTTGTAGATCATAAATTATAGGTAAATAAATGTAGACGTCAGGAGTCCTGTTAGGAGGGGACTGGAGATAACAATAGCCCAGGTAAGAGATTGCAGTGTCTTGAATTGATAGACTCCATCAGTGGAGAGAAAGTAAGGGTTTGAGATGTTCTCAAGGTAAAATTGATAGGGCTTGATCAGTTGAGACTATTAGAAATGAGAGTGATGGTAGAACCTGGAATACAGACTGATTTAAGGCAGTAAGACTAGAAATGTAAAAAGGAGTTATATACAAGATAAATTTTGGGGAGAAAATTATCAGTACTTGCTGATGGGCTAGGTGTGGGGTATATAAAAATGAAGGAAAAGATCAAGAAGAACTGCTACGTTTGAGACTTTAGGAAGTTGGGTATATAGTGATACTATTTCTTGATAAAATAACATAGGGTAACCACAGAGAGCAAGGAAGCAGGACAGACTTGAATAAGTCAAGATTTTAGTTATGGGCATGTTAACTTTAAGGAAAAATACTAGAATCCAGAACGCAGAGGAGAGGTGTAAACTGGAGCTGCTGCTGTGGCAGCTATCAACAAAAAGGTGGTATAAATCCCAGGAAACTACTGAGATTACATCCAGAGTTTAGAGCAAGCAAGCAAGAGAGCCTCAGAATCATACCTGAATCCCCCTAAATTTTAAGGTCAGGTAGATGCAGAGGAGCCACCAAGGGTGATGTTGACAGTGTGGCCATAAGATAGGAGGAAACGGGAGAATGTGCTCATGGCAACCAAGAGAGCAGAATATTTCAAGGAGAGAGTGGTTGAAAATTTTGAATGCTGTTGAGAATTTGAGTAAGATAAAGGTTTTTTGTTAAGTATCTCTGGTTTTGGTAATATGAAGCCATTGATGAATTTGACAAGAAGAACTGTGTCAGTGGAGTGGAAGAAATAGAAGCTAAATTGTGGTGCATTGAAGAGTTACTGGAAGGTAAGGAAGGGATCACTTGTCAATGTCCACTTTGCCTAAGGTGACGTGGTAGGCCCTTCCAGAGACTGCTTAGATACCGCCTGCCAAAGTCCGGATTGATAGGCTTTATTCTCCACAGCTATGGAGAAAATACTATACTTTTTAAAGGAAATATCTGTTTTTGGAGCTTTATGTAATTTTAAGATCAAAAGGAACCTGTTTTTTTTTACTAGTAAAGAAACTGAGGCCCTTTTATTCACTTACTGTATAACTTTACACAGTTAACCCCTCTGTGCCTTACTTTCCTTCTTCAGAAAATTAGGATAATGCATCATAGGGTTGCTCTAAACATTAAATAAGATAATGTATATAAAGATCTTTGCATAGTGCTTGACACATAGAAAATATTAGCTTTTCCCCTAGTAAATGTAGGCTTAATAAATGTTTTCTCTTTGTAATGATACTGAAATTATGTAGACACCTTTGTGTAAGTTATAGATTGCAAGGTAACATAACTGCAAATATTTAATGTTGCTTATAGTTAATTGAATTTCAGGGTTACATTTGTTTTTAATTATGGTTTATTAGTTTCATTATTCCTAGTTAAAATGCTGTTATTACTGTTCATAGTTATTTTGTTTTCTTTCAAAATCCCGAGACCAAATAATGTATTTTAGGGAGAGCAAGCTTGTCAGGCATTTGAAATGTTATTTCAAGTCTTTGAAATAAATCTCTAGTCTTACTGAATCAATTGTAATACTTTTAGTCAGGCCATACTCTTTTTTGAAGTATCCCAGTGAAGGCTATAGCCAAAGTGTATGTATTTTAAGATTTATTCTATTATGAATTTTTTCACAAACCAAGTTAACCATGAATGCTGCAAATAGACTATTTTTTATATTCTTTTTATTAATTTTTATATCCATGCACTTTCTAGTTGTAAACAGGATATATTCCACAATGACATAGACCAGTAGTGGCTTTGTCACCAAGGAAAGTACAGATGCGTTCCTACAGTTTCCTAATATTTCCTTTTCATAGTCCAAGTTAGGAACTGCCTTTAGAGGATATTTGTGTAAAAGTCATTATTGTAGAGGCACTGAACACTGGAATATTGTATATACAAGATTTAAACATCACCTATACTAAAAGCCTGAGCTAATTCAGCATAAAAAATACATATTAGTACAGCTATCTTATATGAGAGTTGTATTTTATAGTACAAGTGAAAGTTAAATCTGATTTTTATTTGTCATCTGTAGAATTAAATATTTTACTTTAAAAGAAATATACATACATAAAAATAGGAATACTAAAATCTTTGATCACATAGCTATTAAGAAAATACAGTGTCTATCTTTGTTAGGACTTAAGAACATTTTATGTATTTATTTGTTTACAATTTGTCATAGAATTAAAACTTTCCATGCTTCACTTAAAGGGGTTGTAGCTCAAGCAAGATCTGTTCTTGCCTGGCACAGTCGATATAAGTTCTGTCCCACCTGTGGAAGTGCAACTAAAATTGAAGAAGGTGGCTATAAAAGAGTATGCTTAAAAGAAGGCTGTCCTAGCCTCCATGGCGTTCACAACACATCATATCCAAGAGTTGGTAAGCCTTTTCTTTTACAGTGAAATCCAGCCATCTGGAATTTGGGGGAATAAGACATTCTGGAAACACAAAATTTTGAGTTGCTGAGGGATTTACTGTTATAGTAAAAGTATGTTGAATTAAGACTATAAGTATTAAAGTGTAAACATATTTACATTTTCATTTGATTCATCGGTGAATAATTACTGAGCACCTGCTATATACTGAACGTGACAAAGACCTTGACTGTTTTGTCTTCCATTGCTCGATATGCCAGTTCATGTGGGGCCTTATATGCCATAGTAAGAAATTAGAAATTTAAGCAAAGATATGAAAATTGTTACTGCTATTTACATATTGTAACCTGACCTATGTTTAAAAAAAAAAAACTAAACTAAAATCCCTCAGTCTGACTGCTTTGTAGATCATAAATTATAGGTAAATAAATGTAGACGTCAGGAGTCCTGTTAGGAGGGGACTGGAGATAACAATAGCCCAGGTAAGAGATTGCAGTGTCTTGAATTGATAGACTCCATCAGTGGAGAGAAAGTAAGGGTTTGAGATGTTCTCAAGGTAAAATTGATAGGGCTTGATCAGTTGAGACTATTAGAAATGAGAGTGATGGTAGAACCTGGAATACAGACTGATTTAAGGCAGTAAGACTAGAAATGTAAAAAGGAGTTATATACAAGATAAATTTTGGGGAGAAAATTATCAGTACTTGCTGATGGGCTAGGTGTGGGGTATATAAAAATGAAGGAAAAGATCAAGAAGAACTGCTACGTTTGAGACTTTAGGAAGTTGGGTATATAGTGATACTATTTCTTGATAAAATAACATAGGGTAACCACAGAGAGCAAGGAAGCAGGACAGACTTGAATAAGTCAAGATTTTAGTTATGGGCATGTTAACTTTAAGGAAAAATACTAGAATCCAGAACGCAGAGGAGAGGTGTAAACTGGAGCTGCTGCTGTGGCAGCTATCAACAAAAAGGTGGTATAAATCCCAGGAAACTACTGAGATTACATCCAGAGTTTAGAGCAAGCAAGCAAGAGATCCTCAGAATCATACCTGAATCCCCCTAAATTTTAAGGTCAGGTAGATGCAGAGGAGCCACCAAGGGTGATGTTGACAGTGTGGCCATAAGATAGGAGGAAACGGGAGAATGTGCTCATGGCAACCAAGAGAGCAGAATATTTCAAGGAGAGAGTGGTTGAAAATTTTGAATGCTGTTGAGAATTTGAGTAAGATAAAGGTTTTTTGTTAAGTATCTCTGGTTTTGGTAATATGAAGCCATTGATGAATTTGACAAGAAGAACTGTGTCAGTGGAGTGGAAGAAATAGAAGCTAAATTGTGGTGCATTGAAGAGTTACTGGAAGGTAAGGAAGGGATCACTTGTCAATGTCCACTTTGCCTAAGGTGACGTGGTAGGCCCTTCCAGAGACTGCTTAGATACCGCCTGCCAAAGTCCGGATTGATAGGCTTTATTCTCCACATCTATGGAGAAAATACTATACTTTTTAAAGGAAATATCTGTTTTTGGAGCTTTATGTAATTTTAAGATCAAAAGGAACCTGTTTTTTTTTACTAGTAAAGAAACTGAGGCCCTTTTATTCACTTACTGTATAACTTTACACAGTTAACCCCTCTGTGCCTTACTTTCCTTCTTCAGAAAATTAGGATAATGCATCATAGGGTTGCTCTAAACATTAAATAAGATAATGTGTATAAAGATCTTTGCATAGTGCTTGACACATAGAAAATATTAGCTTTTCCCCTAGTAAATGTAGGCTTAATAAATGTTTTCTCTTTGTAATGATACTGAAATTATGTAGACACCTTTGTGTAAGTTATAGATTGCAAGGTAACATAACTGCAAATATTTAATGTTGCTTATGGTTAATTGAATTTCAGGGTTACATTTGTTTTTAATTATGGTTTATTAGTTTCATTATTCCTAGTTAAAATGCTGTTATTACTGTTCATAGTTATTTTGTTTTCTTTCAAAATCCCGAGACCAAATAATGTATTTTAGGGAGAGCAAGCTTGTCAGGCATTTGAAATGTTATTTCAAGTCTTTGAAATAAATCTCTAGTCTTACTGAATCAATTGTAATACTTTTAGTCAGGCCATACTCTTTTTTGAAGTATCCCAGTGAAGGCTATAGCCAAAGTGTATGTATTTTAAGATTTATTCTATTATGAATTTTTTCACAAACCAAGTTAACCATGAATGCTGCAAATAGACTATTTTTTATATTCTTTTTATTAATTTTTATATCCATGCACTTTCTAGTTGTAAACAGGATATATTCCACAATGACATAGACCAGTAGTGGCTTTGTCACCAAGGAAAGTACAGATGCGTTCCTACAGTTTCCTAATATTTCCTTTTCATAGTCCAAGTTAGGAACTGCCTTTAGAGGATATTTGTGTAAAAGTCATTATTGTAGAGGCACTGAACACTGGAATATTGTATATACAAAATTTAAACATCACCTATACTAAAAGCCTGAGCTAATTCAGCATAAAAAATACATATTAGTACAGCTATCTTATATGAGAGTTGTATTTTATAGTACAAGTGAAAGTTAAATCTGATTTTTATTTGTCATCTGTAGAATTAAATATTTTACTTTAAAAGAAATATACATACATAAAAATAGGAATACTAAAATCTTTGATCACATAGCTATTAAGAAAATACAGTGTCTATCTTTGTTAGGACTTAAGAACATTTTATGTATTTATTTGTTTACAATTTGTCATAGAATTAAAACTTTCCATGCTTCACTTAAAGGGGTTGTAGCTCAAGCAAGATCTGTTCTTGCCTGGCACAGTCGATATAAGTTCTGTCCCACCTGTGGAAGTGCAACTAAAATTGAAGAAGGTGGCTATAAAAGAGTATGCTTAAAAGAAGGCTGTCCTAGCCTCCATGGCGTTCACAACACATCATATCCAAGAGTTGGTAAGCCTTTTCTTTTACAATGAAATCCAGCCATCTGGAATTTGGGGGAATAAGACATTCTGGAAACACAAAATTTTGAGTTGCTGAGGGATTTACTGTTATAGTAAAAGTATGTTGAATTAAGACTATAAGTATTAAAGTGTAAACATATTTACATGACTTATCAGTAAAGGACATTGTACATAATTAGCTATTTCATAACTCCAGGTTAATCAGTATGTATTTGCTGTGCTGAGATACATGATTTCCAAAGCCCACCAATCCAGGCCGACTTAGTGCAGAGACCAAAAAAGCTCTAACAATTGAGTGCCTGTTTGAAGCATCACCAAAGCAGTGCAGCCTAGAGCTAGCTTCTCCTTACTGCTGGGATCTGTACCTTCTTTCCTCCCTCTAATTGCTGCTTTGAGTCGGCTGTGAGTTTGGAAATCTGATAACCCAGTCCTTTAAAACCATGTGAAAAAAAAGAATAGATAGACACAGCAACACCTGAGGAGGCAGATGGCTTAGTGACATGTTTTACTGCTCAGGGACCTTTACGTTTGATTTCTGGTTCTCAGTCATGATCTGGTGAGAAAAATATACTGGATTAGTGACTTCTGGAAAAATGAACTATTATTTAATATAATCTTTTTTATTTTTAGTGGGTTAAGCTTAATCACAGTGCCATATGTTTTTAAAAAACATTTTGTTTGTAAGTATTGGGATGGAAGGAGAGAGGGAAATTTACTATATTTACGAAGATAAAATTTGAATTTTCTTCATGCCATGTATTACTTACTCAAACTTTTTTCTAACTAAAAACTAACAAGATGCCTAGTATACCATAAGTACACAATGAATGTTGCTATGATGATAAGAAAAAGGACAAAAAAAGGCCTTCCTTTAGCTTACTGACAATATTCTATGCAATTTTCCTGAAATAGTCATCAGGCAGAAAGAAACAGTTCCTTGTAACTAGACAGAGTCTTATTCTTACTGAGACACACCTCTTTATTACTGTTCAAGATAAACCTCTTTATTATCCTACTTAACAGTAACTTTACACAGTGAATCTAAATTTTTTTTAACAGATCCAGTAGTAATCATGCAAGTTATTCATCCAGATGGGACCAAATGTCTTTTAGGCAGGCAGAAAAGATTTCCCCCAAACATGTTTACTTGCCTTGCTGGATTTATTGAGCCTGGTAAGCCTTTTCTTAATAATTTTTATAATACTTTTCATTGAACTTAAAATTTCCAAATAAAAATTTAACAACATTTGAAAAATAATATCTGATAAATTATGATATCAAACTAGGTTATTTTAAATATTTTCTGTGTATTTCAAATTATATAGTCTTGCTTTTACTAGTAGAATAATTTTGTCTGTTTTCAGACAGATATATATTTGCATATTGCTTTTACCAAAGGTATCTGCGTGATTGACACCTCACTTCCTTTTGTATCAGACTGTACTGTCACCTTTCCACGAAGGCCTTCCCTGATAGTCCCAGATGTGGTAGTTAGTCCCACATCCTAATTCACAATTCCTGTCATCCTGACTGATTTTTTCTTACAGCACTCATCACCACCAACATGGTATGGTTTGTTTGTTTGTTTGTATATATGTATATATCTATCTGTCTATCTGTCATCTGCTTGTACCAGATAGTAAGTTCCACAGGGCAGGGACTTTGTTTTATTATTGTTGTATACCAAATGCTTAGAGCAGTGCCTCATATGTAGTAGAAGTTCAATAAATATTTCTGGAATAAATGAATGAATATACCTGATTAGTACGTGTTTAATCTTAACATCAAATATTAAATTACACTGACAGATAATAACAGTAGTAATCACATGTAGTGCCATAATCTGTTCCAAAGGCTTCCCATATAGTAAATCATAAGCTCCTATTACAACCTTATAAAGTAGGTACTATTTCAGCAGTACTATTACAGATGGGACACAGGGGCTAAATAACTTTCCCAAGATCAAACAGCTAGTTAAGCAATAGGGCAGGGATTCAAACCTGGATGGTTTGGCTCTGAGTCCTGAACCAGGATGCTGCCTCAAGTAGCTGTAGATCATAATTTTTCAATTGCTTTGTAGCATTCCATTTCTACAATTCATTTATCCATTCTGCTGTTGGACATTTAGTTTATTTCAAAGCTCTATCTATGACAAACAACACTGCAATGAAAGTCTTATACTACTATTTGTGCACATTTGCAAGAGTATCAAGGGTACACACCTGAAAGTAGAATTGCTAGCATGTAGGATATGAGCATCTTAACCTTGTCTAAATACTGCCAAGTTGCTCTTTGAAGGGCCCCTGCCAATTTATACTCCTTCTAACAGAACATGACATGTTCTTCACCACATCTTCACCAAGTTAGGATTTTCAGACTTTTTAAAAGTATGTCATTGTACTTTTCATTTTTATTTCCACGCATTTTTCAAAATTGTTTTAGGTATCCAATTTTTCTCCAAATTTTACATATTTATATTCTTTACCTACTTTTGTTTGGGTTATTATCCTTTCTTATTGATTTTAAGAGTTTTTTAATATGTATTATATGCTGATCTTTAGTTAGGGTCTTGCCAAGTATCTTACGCTAGTCTGTGACCTCTCTTTTCACGCTCTTTTTTTTGATGAACATAAGTTATTAATTTTAATGTAGGAAATATATCAGTCTATTTGAAATAGTTATATTTAAATAGAAAATATTTTGAAACTTCCAGAAAATTTTAACTTAGAAACTATTCCTTCTATTTTAATCCTCAACTTCAACAAATAAGAAATATAAAGTACATTTATAGATATCATTTTATTTTATCATAGCTGAGTCACAAGTCATCTAGAGTAAAAGAATAATTTAGAAAGAAAAAACACTTTCATCTTACGTGGTTTTAAACTTTAAATGCTATATGGTTTTTACTCTTGAAAAATCTGTTTCAGGATTTTAGTGAGGAAAAGGCTAGCCATTTATAAAAACCTTGCAATGATCATTTATGACTAATGATAATACATAAATAATATATAAAATGCTTACATAGTGTTTAGCCAATAGTAGGTGCTTGATAGTTGTACATGTTACTAATTTTTTAATGTAACAAACAAATATGGACCAATTAGAAATGAAAAGTTTCTTGCCATTTTGATTCTGTATGTGGTCATATACTTTTAAGAAATAATGTTTTCTTGAATTCCAATCTAAGTTTTAGCCTTCTCCTTTCTGATTCTTTGAATTGGGTTTCTGTCCAAAGTGATTTACAAATGTTTGCACCGTTCAGAGCATAAAATGTCCGAGGCATGTTCATCAGGCGCTTGTTCTTTTGCCCCATTTCATTAGGGGAGACAATAGAAGATGCCGTTCGGAGAGAAGTGGAAGAGGAAAGTGGAGTCAAAGTTGGCCATGTTCAGTATGTCTCTTGTCAACCATGGCCAATGCCCTCCTCCTTAATGATTGGTTGCTTAGCTGTGGCAGTGTCTACAGAAATTAAAGTTGACAAGAATGAAATAGAGGATGCCCGCTGGTTCACTAGAGAACAGGTAAAGTTCAATTTAATTTCCTCCTTCTATTGATTGTTCTCTGACTGTATCGGTTTGGGCATGCAGCAAGGATACATGTTTTCCACAAGTTGAATGAATGGCTATGTCCCTCTCATCATGTGTGGGTTACAGTATAATTGATACGTCCTGTGTTAACTCATCCTGTGACAATTTTCTAGTGATGATTATTCCATGCCATTTTCTAATTTCAAATGCCATTCCTTCAGATGAGTGATACTTCTTAATGAACTTAAACTAGGCAGATATTATTTCAGAGATGAGGAACAGGAATATAATTTAGAGTTTTTATATTTTTGTATATAGCAAAACAAGTAGCTCTCAAAAAAATCAGTAAAAATGATTATATAATTTTTGAAAAATTCTTCATTTTGAAATGTGCTTAGGAGAAGAATGACAAACCTATATAACAAAGGTACACTCACAAGAACTTTGTAGAACATCATCCTTCAGTAATATAATAAAAGATAAATTGCTGTTCGAGTTTTGCATGACCCAAAGTACTTATATAGAAAACAAATGGATATACCACAATAGTGAAGACCCGAAAGACCTGACTTTGCCTAAACAAAATTAATTATTTTTAATGCCTCAAAAAGTATAAATTAGATTTTCTTCAGGATCTTATGAAAGGGAACCCATCTCAAAAGTTGACTTCACTTTGAAAATAAGCGTGGAGCATAAACTTTCTTTTTTTATAACCTTATTATCATAAGGGAATATGCCTTTCTAGAATATTACATCACTAACTCACTGAAGCAACCAAAAATACTGCACTAGATTTTGCATGTTGGATATAGATGCTGTCCCTTTCCACTGTTGTTATTCACTATAAAAGCCTTCACATTTGAGTTGAATTATATAAGCATGGAAATAGTATTTAAGTATGACAGTATTGAAATCCTAATACATTTTATTATGGTGTATTTTAGGTTGTGGATGTTCTGACCAAAGGGAAGCAGCAGGCATTCTTTGTTCCACCAAGCCGAGCTATTGCACATCAGTTAATCAAACACTGGATTGGAATGAACCCCAATCTCTAAGTCAAATAACTAGACTTTGAGTGTTAATTGATTTCTAATGCCACTTGTTCCTCAAGTGAGATTAGAAATATTCAGCCCTCTGTAGAGTATCACAACTCAAAATATCATATTGGCTGTTTGAAATATTTTTGAAGTGTACTTTCTATCTTAACCACAGAATTCATGTTTTATAAATTACAACATTGCTTCAAATTTTGTTAAATCTGAGTTAGCCTTCTCCATACTTTTTGTTTTTCTTTGGTTGTGCTCTATAGTTTTATCTCACAAAACCATGTTTCTAATAAGAAATAATTTTGTAAAGAAGTATATTATAAAAATGTAAATAAGTGTAAATTCTAGCACTTCTTACAAGCATTTGCCCAACCACTAAAGTTCTTTTTGAGAAATGAGACAAAATAATTTGGATGAATTTTGAGCTCCTTTTTAGTTTTTTCATTATCACAAAAGTCCTTTCAGTTGTCAATAGTTGATTTTTGCCCATCTTCCTACTGTAATCTTTTTTCTTCTAGTTTCATTATTCTAGCAATGGTACTATTACCGTGTGTGTTGTGCTAGTCTATTTTGATCCGTGTTAAGAATTGTCCATTTAACAACTATGGTAATCAGAATACCACACCTTCATGAAAGGAGAGCTAATGAGACCAATACCATCGTTTCTAGAACCCCCTCCTTAAACCTAAATTAATATATCTATTTATCTGTTATACTCAAAATTGTTCTTAAGACAAATCAGGATCTCTGCTTTTTCAATGAAATTAAACATACTTGAAAGGAATTCTCCTCAAAGATCAGATATTAAATAGATCCCAAATAGATTTACATATTTACTAAAAACACTGTTATGTCATTTTGTGATAAGGAATGTATTTGCATTATAAAAAGTTATGTAATCATTACTAATAATATCTTATTAAATATGACATCTTGGTTTTCAACATATTCTAAGGCTATAAAAGTAAGTGTATCTTTGAACTGAATAAGACTCTAGAGGAAGTAAATTGTAGTAGTTCAAATTTTGCAACATAGAATTGTCATATTTTACAAAGCTGTTTTGAATTGTTTTAAAGGGTAGTCCATAAGTGTATAAATGTATATGATTTAGCTCTTTACTATTGTATGTTAGAGCTGGAAGAGCCCTTAAGGAGAGTAAATATAGTTTACTGCCCTTTTATAAATAAGGAAAAGAGAATCTTAAAAAGTGAATTTAATTAATTTAACCCATTAAAATTAATCCAATCAATTAATTAATTGATGAAAGTTACACAATTACAACTTATAATTGTTAATACAAATAAGTAACCTAATTACAACAGTCTGTACTGTATAACACTGTGTAAGCCTCTCCCCTTAACAGGAAGTAGAAACTATTACTAAAAGTATATGTAGAATAAATTAAAATAAGGCTTAATAAGAATAGACTGATTTACCAAAAATTACTAAAATTTTAGATACTAAAATTCACTTAAAAGATAACTTTCATAGATAAAACTTTTATTTTACTAATGATCAATGATTTTCTTAGTAATTGATGTAGGTATATTGATATTAAGACTTTAGACAATAATAAGACTTACACAGAACATTTAGATACTAGATACACAGTAAAATTTGAATTATGTAAGTATAGGGAAAATCACATGCCTTATTATGAAGTATGACTATTATGAAATATGACTTGAAGTCCAGTTTTAGTGTAAATGTGTTCTTAATACTTACAGATTCTAAGATCTAGCAACATAGGAATTGAAGGTTTCCATAATGTTAGGATAGCAAAGTGAAATATAAAGTATCAACAAAATGTACTTATAAATTCAGCTTTAGATATTTAATCCTGTACTCAGGGAAAATCAGTATCTACATAAATTGTTGTTTTAATAATCTTTCATTTGCTAACCTCTGAGAGGTGAATAGCTATATGTAAATAGAATAGCCAAGAAATAATAGAAGTTCAAGTGCCACGAATGTATTCTAATGGAAATAGAGGTAACTCTACATTAAAATATTTACGTATTTTCTGTTTTGTGTTATGTGTGTTTTTAATATGTTTGATAAATGCCTTCTGAAAAATGGGAAAACTGTATTTCAGTCATCGTAACCAGTTTATAATTAATAATGCATAAATAAATAAAAAATAGAAAAGCTTTTTAAAAAGTCCATATTTGGAAGACTTAAATTTTTTATTTAAATCATTAATTTTATAGTTTGGGGTCATATATAAACATACACACAGCAGACATATACATATATACACACATACACAATTTTTTAACTTCAGGTTCAAAATTAATATATATATCTAATGTTATATATCTGATAGTCTAATGTTTATTTTTATTCCTTGCCTAATATTACCAATCATAGCATTTTGAATTTTTTACTTGTTTACTGTTCATGGAAGGACTAGAAAGAATTAGAATCCCACATATTTCATGTAGTTGGAAAAATGATTCAGTTACTCTTTCAAGATGAGGTCAGGGATTTGGGAGAAGACAGAAAATAATGGACCAACAGTGGGTGAGACCATGAGATGGGAGGAGAAAGTTTAAGTTTGTTTAAGCCAAATAAACTTAATTAAATCTCATAAAGAGAGCAGACAACTCATCCTAGAACTGTGTTACAAATATGTATATAGCAAAATATTAGGTGAAAATGTTCTATAAAGCACATCCATTATTATTTAGAGTAAAATTTCCACAGTACAAATTTTATTCGGATGAGAACTAGTTATTAGGTTCTGAATATGTGTAAGCAAGGTGGAAGGAATGGTGTTGAGTGAAATTTATTTATGTGCTTTGCTTAAAAGGTCTGTTTTCTAGTAGAAAACTAAGACAATCCAGAGTGCAAAATTAGGAGTATCTGTCTACAAACATAAAAGATCTAGGTCTTGAGGTCAACTATACCTTGTCCTTTTTCTTCCCAAGACACTCAGATAGACTTCAAAACAGCTTCTAAAAGGGAGTGTAGTTTATACAGTGGATTTTCAAATAATTCAGTTATTTGCCAACAGTAGAAATGATCAAAAGGAAACGTATCCAAGTAATAAAGATGGCTTAGGAAAAATGGGTAGTCAGAAACTTGAATTCTTTTATTGCTTGGGAACAATTTTTGCAACTATAAATTGAACATTTGGATATGTTAATTGGGCTAACAGGCAAATTCCTCATTCTGTTTTCACTGAAGTATGTCTACATATAATTGTACTCTGACAAAAGTAGCACTTTTAACTTTTCTTTATTCCTTGAAGAATACATTTCTCTCTTATTGCTAAGTAGACAACTGCCATAGCATTGGACAGTGGATATTTCTCCTTTTTACAGTTCCCATTATAATGATGTTCTACAGATGGTGGGGGCAACTGTGAAATGTTAAAACAGATTTTAAGTTAAAAGAAGTCTTTTTTCTAATGGAAACATTTTTCTTTCTAACTATAAGTCTGATAACAAATAGACAAGACTACAGCATAAAGAATGAAAAAAAAAAGTTCCGGTTTTCCATTCCTGCACTTACCGGAATGATACAGAACACCTCATTGTCTCACCCCTGATGGATTAAGAACATTCTTCTAACCACTTAACTTGTTAAATAATTTCATTTTGAATAAATTGGAGTTTCCACTCAAGAGTAGAAATTGAAAGTGAAACTTGTATCTATTTTAGGACAGAGTAAGTAGACAAATGATCTAGTCTAAAGTTTGTTTACTTTTTATCTTGCCCATTTTACTCTAACCTGGAAGTGTAGTCTTTGGAGCAGAATGATGTTTTGAACACCTCAGTAGAGCAAGTTACAGATATTTATTACTCACTTCATATAGCAGAAAGCTAAAGTCGTCTCTGTTAGTCGAGGTAACAAAGTGCCATTTATCCAATGGCTTTGCTGCTTACAGTTATTTTGCTTTATTGCTGGATTTGTGTTTTTGAAAAAAGTTTGAATGCATTAGTGCCAAACAGAGGATTTGGAACACCAAATAAAATGCTCTAACGATGCGTGAAAATTCAAACCTTGGGCTGCACTGGTCTTTACCATCATCCTCTGTGCATCACAGTGAGGGATTCTGTCAAATGTAGCCACGAGTGGGAAGCCAGTAGGAGCACCATGTGTTTTTCCACTGTCGAGGATGAAAGGAGAAAATATACACATACTATGTGGAACTCAAGTTTTCATGACTTAGAGGTATCTAATGATTATTTCAGAAAAATACTCTTATTTTATACAAATTACTAGGTTTGACATACTGATCTTTTTTTATAGTTCCAAGCCAGATCATACATCCTTGTGAATAAATCTATTTTTCATTCTCTTATGATAATAATAGTTATCATGTAAAATACTTTTTGTTTCACATCATGAAAAGTATATATATATTTGCTCAGTATATCTATCTAACATCAGTATTAAATAGATTTAATTCAAATTCAGATATCTGGACTATGTAAAAGTTATTTTTTGACTTTTCTTTCCAATATATTTCTAAGAACTACTTACGGTTCCCTATTTACAACAAGTTCCTAAGAAAACATAACTCTTTGGTTAGCTTATTCTCATAATACTAACCATATTTACATAGGACCTTATATGAAGAATACTGACAATTATTATTTCATTTTATACTTGAAGAATCCTATGAAATGCATATTAATACCACACCCAACTTATAATTGGCTAAAAGGGTTAACTTTCTCAAAGTCATATTGTAAATAAATAGAGCCAAGACTTGAATCTTTCACTCCAAATCCTTTTATCTTCCCACTTACCAGAGCTATCTTACAGGATTTTCTTAATGCTGCATTATTGAGAAAAACCTGTCCAGTCTGAATTTCCTTTTTCAGTCCCTTTAATTTGGGCATTTTTCAGATTGGTCCTTCTATTTGTGTTACTATGGACATTTCTGTGAGACCTTCACTGCTTATTTGGTTCCCAAATTTCTATCTTCAGCTGTGTATTAGACATACCTACTTAGACATCACAGAGCCTCCCAAATACTACATATGTAAAACTAAGACATTTTCTATCTCAAGCATGTTCTTGTTTCTGTGTCCCTATTTCAATAGTGTTGCAGTTGCCCAGCATGGAACTTTGGGAATTATTATCCTTGTCTACTTTATCCTTCACTGTACCCCACCCAACAGCCATACAAACTCCAAATCCTATCTGTTTTACTTCTTAATACTTCTGAAATGCAGTATCTCTCCCTCTCCTTCCCACTCTTTTCTGTCTCCACTGCTGCCATCCTGTTTCAGGCTGCTCACCTGTTTCTACACCAGCTTCCTAAATTGGTCTTCCTATTTCTAGTTTTGCTCCCAGTTCACTCTTCATACTGCATGCAGCCAAGGAGATCTTGCTTAGGGGCAATCTTATCTAGTCTTTCCCTTACTTAAATTTATTCAAAACGACTCCTTTTTGGACAAAAGGTAAACTCCAATTTCCTTAGCATAGCAATTTACCTCTGCAGTTTCAACTTTCATCACTTCCCTTTCTCCCTAACCCTGTATATATATGTTCTTACAAAAAGTCACAAAAACCGTCTAAACTTTTATTAGGCATTAATAACATTCATTAAAGATCACCTGATTATGACCAATATCATGTGCTACAGGTTAAAAAGAAGAGTTTCACTTATTTAACAATTCTAAACAGTACTTCTAAACTATGTTTTGATTTACATACTTCATTGGATTTCAAAAAATATAAATCAGGGCCTTTATTTTTTATCTCAATTTTACCACTGAGCACACTGAGTCTAAGAGAAGTCAAATGACTCCCCCAAGGTCAACATAGGATATGAAACTGGGACTCAAATTTAAATCTTCCTAATCAAAGTCTACAGCCTCCACTGTACATACGCCATCCTGCTTCTACCCCTGTATCTACCACACAAAGATAAATTAATGACCTGATAATTAACCATACCCATGTAAAGAGCCAAACTAGGTCATTTAAGTTTTCGTTTTTGTTTGGATTTCTTCCACTTCATTTGCACCACATGAACATAGCTGTGTTTCATATGTGCTCCTCTCTAAGCTCCTGAGCCACAAAAGCACACAGTGAGTCATGTACACCAAAAGTTTATTTGAAAATAAACAGACTGTTACGAATGATTAAAACAGATATTAATAGACTGATTAAAGGTTGGTAGATCATTCCTGACATTGCATTAAGATTAAATATACTAATCAGATTTTGGATTAAGATAACCCAGATAAATCCCAGGTAGAGCAAGCAGTATTCAGATCCTTACAACATATTCTTGCCTTTCAAAATACATACTTGCATTTTATCCATGTCTCCTTCACAGCTGAGGATTTATGAAGGCTTTACCCAGGTGAGCTGATTATATGTTCTTTTTACCTTTTTTTTTTTTTTTTTGCCATTTTGAAGTAGTCTCCATTTTAATCCTCGCTGTCCTAAATTAGTTGTTTTTTTTTTTTTTTTTTGCCATTTTGAAGTAGTCTCCATTTTAATCCTCGCTGTCCTAAATTAGTTGTTTTGCCAAGGATGATAGCAAAGGGAAAAGTATTTGAATGTTATATATGAAGACAACATTTATTTCCAGTCACGAAAAATCCAACAGCTGTTTGTAACTTGCTCTGTTACCAAACAGAGATGATGGATACATCCAAAAAATTCTAAATAATGTGTTTAAGCCTTTTATTTATGCTAAGAAAGACATCATATGCACATTTGAATAGCCACCATCCATATCCTAATTTGGTTATTTGAAATAAATTGTGCATTTAGAAAGCAAGGAAAATGCAACTGACAACCTAAGCTTGAGAGCAGAATTGAAATTCATTCTGAATTCAGGGAGGGTCAGTTTCATTTCAAAGCAGTACTTTTTGTTTTGAAATCCTATACTCTGTTTCCACTGCAGCATTAAATTTACTAATCACCAAAATGATTTTCTCATATCATTTAGTTTGTAGAAATTTTCTTCATTACTTTTATATTTAATTTTACTTACATGTGTTTATATTTTTAATTTTTGAAACATATTAGTCACCCAAAATATTACGACCTGATCTCAAGGAAAAAGACTGTGAAGATTACATTTTTTTCTATAACAATAGCAGTTACTCCAAGATTTAGACCAATTTCATAGACAAATATCCTGGCTGATATCATTTGTATAAATAATACCAAATCAAACTTTGCAAAAT